TAGGGAAAGTAGAGCAAAAGAGGAAAAAAAGGCACAGAACAGTCAATAATAAAAAGTCCTGTTGACCATTAATGTGCCTGATGATATCAAAGTATCCTTTTTCATCTGTCTGAGCCTATTGCATCAGCTAGGAGGGGGTCACAGGAAAAGGTTGGAAGGGTTCTTTGGAGGTCATCTGGTCCAAGCCACGGCCCAGAGCAGGACTGACTGCAGGGCTGGTTCTGGCTACTGAGAGCATTCTACAGTCGAGCTAAGTAAGTCCAAGGGTGAAGAGTCCACAACCTCCCTGGGCAACCCGTGCAAGGTGTTTTCACAACTTACACTGTGAAAGGAGTTTTCTTTACATCCAACCAGAGCATTCCTTCCTGCAGACTGCGACATCAGGCTTAGATGCTTCACATTGCACAGCACAAATGTTCTCATGAAGCACCTCAAAGCAAAAGAGGGTTTTATCACAGTTCAAAGACATTAATTGCTTACATATACGAAAGGCAATACTATTGCTGCTGAAGGGAGCTCTCTCTGGCTTTGTGCATTACAGCACACTTCAGCTAGTTTCCCCCTCACTTTCTCCCCAGCTAATCAGTGACAGTAAGTTAAATGCTTCTGATATATAAGACAACTAGTTCAAGTTTATCTCAGGTATCTCTATAGCTTTAAAACTCTTAATACAAAGTAATTTATCTGATACCATTTAGAAGATAAATGCAATTAGAACTCTGGTATCTAAAAGTTTTTAGCAAAATACTAGGAGAGAACTAGAAGATTTTTTCATACTGTGGGTTGAACTATAAAAACATTTGTATAGATGGTGTTTTCTTGTAATTGTAGGATTTCAGTGCTAATGACAGGCTATTTTGTTCCTCACTATGGATACTTTTTTAAGAAAAGAAATAGAATTATCTTGTCATCCAGTCTTTCTAAGATTTATCAATGCATAGGTGAACTAAAAGGACACTTGCTGTAAGAAACAGACTGCTCACATAATAAAGCACGTTGCCTCAAAAGAAGAAAAGGCCACAGCTAATTTTTCAGGGAAAATAGAAGAGTTTTATGGCTTTGAGGATATTTAATAGATGAAATAAATTGTTCAGTATTCCAAGGCAGAACAAAGCCTCACTTGTTAGAGTGAGGGTGTGGGATAGTGAAATATGTTCAGTTAAAACAGATGCAGAGTTATTTTAAAGTGCCATTATGTGGCCACTTTCTGAATATATGCCTCAGAAGAGCTATCTTTGTCAGGAAACCTGTGTGTTAAGTTGGCTGTTTCAAGCCTTACCATTGTTTTACTATTACTTTGATTCTATTCTTGTGCTATGTAACTAAACGTGGAAAAAAAAAATCACACAAAATTTGTGTTCTGAAATTGATTATTTAAATAGTTAATAGCAATAGTTAATGGTAAACCCAAACAAATTATAAGAGAAGTCAAGAGAAATAGCTGGACCACTTGGTTAAGAGACCAGGTTTCAATTCTTTGTTTCTTTTGCATGGTTTTCCTGGCTGATGTTGCTCAAGTCATCTGAAGCTCAGCGATTAGAGGCAGGTGCAGTTGTGACAGGTACTGCTAACCCAGGTCTTGGTTTGCCTGACTGCGTCTGAAGTAACCTACTGGGTGTGAGCCAGCATCAGCAAGGTTTAACTGGCTGTGACCCCGTCCTTCGAACTCGTATCTCCCATCATTTGCTTCGCCTGTAGTGCCCCACTAATCAGTCTGGTCTTTTCCACAACTACCATCTGGGCAGAGCACATAGGAAAGTTGAACTTTTTTCAGGCACGAGTGTCAGGTCAATCCCAGGAAACCACCAACTGGCAGACTTCTGTAATCATCCTGCTGGTATCTGAGAACACTTGCTTCCTGTTAAGGCTTTTACTTTACAATAAAAAATTGTTTTGCTTCAAAATGGTGTATTTGTGGATTTCCACAGAAATCCTGGTGAAGCCCTGATCATTCAGTTATAATGATGTACCAGGCAGTGTGACCTAAATTGACATAAATAAATCAAAGTTAGTCTTTTTTCATCTGATGAAATTTATCCATGACACATATCATCCAAAATAAATTTATTCATCTTCCACCTCGAGCTAACAAAAAACATGTTAGAAAAATAACTTTAGTGAAAGGAGAAGTCATCATTAGCCTAGTAAGTTTACCTCAGTAATATCCTAGAGCAATGTATTTCCCTGTTTAATGATACACAGGCTGAAAAACATTCATTTTTACTGTTTCAGAATGTGTGTATCATATTAATTTTTACCCTAATTTATTTTTGTGCTGCTGCAGAAACTAGTAAGTGAATGAACCTCATCCTGTCTTTGCTCTGCTGTTTTTTTAATCTAGCTGTGTTACCACCATTCTTACCCATAATGGTCAGTCATGCTTCTCTATAAAACCACTTATGAAACATCTTATGTTCTAGTTGTTACATTTTGGCAAATTGCATTCAGGAGTTGTCTGATTAAGTGGCTCTTTGGCCTCTTCTTTTCTATTTCAAGGTCTTCAGACCTGCAATATCGACAGCATTTTTAGAAGCTCTATCTGCTATGCAAAACTGATATCAAGAATGAAATGCCTAAATTACATGGTTTCTGGCTTTGATTGCATAAATTATTCAATCTTATAGTATGGAGAAATAAAAATAACTTTTCTGATGGTTTTGTGTTACCTTGCTTTCCTTATATGCTGTGTAGGTGTATGGGTGGTGAATAGGCTGTATTGGCTCCCAAAAACTTTATCAGTGGGCATAAACTTTTCAGAGGGACTTTGGAGCTGATCTTGGTTTTGCTTCAGTCACCTCTGTACCAGCAGACCAATGAAATGCACAGTTAACACCAGTGCATGATACATGAAGGCAGATTACTTCATATAGAGAAGTCTGCTGCTGTCACTTATTGTCCCTGCAACTGATGAGACATGATGTGCCAGCAGTAGGCATAAAAGTCTTCAGTCAGCTTCTTTTTATCTGTAAGGTGATGCAGTCAGCTCTTTAGTCCTTGGTATTTTGTTTTCTTTTGCTTTATGTTAGATGAGTGGTTTTCTTCTTTGGACTGGGACAGGCATCTTTGTTGAAGGGCTAGCTGGGAATTTAGAATTACTTTTGGTTTTACAAAACTCCTGAGTCAGCAGCTCGATGAATGGATGTAGTATGTACATAATGTGCTGGTAGGCAGCAGGGGTTTCCTCGTGCAATCAATACACTTCCATTCATCAGAAAAGCCTTTTCTTTAGCAGTGTTTGTCATGTGGACAGCATATGGGAAAAAATATCACTCCTACTTTTATGTTTAGTGCCATCATTATCTCTGGCTCTCAGTTTTTTTGTCACAGGTAATCAGCTGTGGTTTAGAACTTTATTTTCTTCTGATAATCAATTGTTTCAGTTGCTTTTCACCTTCTCTAGTAAATCAGTTATATTTTCTCACTCCAAGGCAATCTCTGCTAGTTGCATGCTTTTGGCAGACAAAATCTTTGGCTGGTTCTTTGCTGTCACCTGGAGTCCAACATGAATATTATATGGTTTTCATACTTTGTGTTGTGAGTGGGACTCTGATACTTACCAGGCTAGTTATTATAGAGTTTTATCACTATGTATTCTCTGTCTGGATATTGTCACCACTGGATGTGTTTTTACTGACCAAACATGAATGACTTTCTCTAAGTTAGTAACCATATGCTCCCTGTGTTTCTGTCCATTAGTGACAGCTCCTACTACCCTGTTTCATTTCATACTAAAAGCAGCTTTCTACTTTTCACCAAACAACCCTCACTCTAAAAGTATCTTTTCTTTCTGTTGATAATAATAAAGAGAGATTAGGGTGATGGCTTGACTGCAGATGTCCATGCTGCAGTGAAGTTAAAGAGAGAGCTCAAGAGGAGCAGTTTCTGCAATCCCTTTCAGCATCTCTTTCGTGTTTCCTCCTGTTACGTGCCATTAAAGTATTCCATAAAGCCACTCAAACCAGCTTTTTAAGCAATGTGACTCAGTTACCTGAAACCTATTTGTATCCGCTGGTTCAAGCTTAAAGTGAGTTTCTTTGATTTACTCCTAAAGTGAATTAAGCTAAATCGAGTTAAAGCTGCTTATAAGTCTGCCTGGGTCTGCAAGCAGAAGTACAGTGGTGTTGTGACTAATTCATCTGAAATTTGCACCTTCCCTTCACTTGTTGTCCTGCCCAGCCCTCAGTTATGTGGAAATGCTCACTGTTTTAGCAAGTCTGGTAGTTGGCAGATCAGATGCTTGAACTGAATACTGATATATTGTAGTTCAAGCCATAATGATTATCAACTTATTTTCTTCTCTCTGATACAGATCTGGTACTACACAAACAGCATCTTTAGTGAAGCTGGGATCAATCATAAGACAATCCCCTATGTTACTTTAAGTACTGGTGCTGTTGAGACTGTGGCTGCTGTTTTTTCTGTAAGTATCATTATAAAAATCCATTTACATGCTTGATATTTAAATTACTGATTTTATTTCCTTATACAGGTTAAAATATAAATAGAATAGTATGTTGAGGATTAAGTGTAATGCTTCATAAAGCAATTGAAAATATTATTTCTAGATTTAATCCTAAGAGACCAGTTGTGTGGTTTGGGATTTTTGTAAGAAGATGTTGTCTAGGTTTAGTTGTAAAGAAGGAGCAGGAAAAGTCTATATATCCTGAGAAGCTTTATATGAGTGAAGAGGAAGTAGGCAGGAATGGCAAATACATAAAGTGATAACTCATAAATTATTTCACCCAGTAGAACAACTTTACCTGGTAGCAGTTTATTCACACCTCAGAGTCTTCTCATGCCTGCTGGGCACATGTTGGAGAAGGCTGAGGCATAGTACAGCTAGGTGTGTTCAATGTGGATTGTAGAAACAGCCATCCATCTTACTGGGCATGTTTTAATGACATTTTCTATAGCAGCCTAGGAACAGTGAGGAAAATTCTTCAATCATTTAAAAATATGGGAGTAAATGTTTGTAACCCTGCCTGGTGCAAAAATAAGCCAGCACCCCTATACAACAAGGTTGTCCCATGTTGTGTTAAATTCTGCACTTTTATTCACTGAGGTTGAGCAGCCATCCTTTCTTAACGTGAGCTTCTGAGTAGGTCACATATCCTTGCTATGCACTGAACATAGAAGCTGTTAGTAGAAAGAAGTATCCATGCACATCTTTTCTTGTCTTTCCTATTTCAACATGACTACGTAAAAGAGAAATATAGTAGATGAGCAAACTAAACCTGAAAGTTTTAATAGGTAATAAACAATTAATTACTAAAGGAAATACATTTCTGTTTGCACTGTAATAAATAAGAAGCAGTGGGAGAAGTCTTTGGATTGAAAAGCTGCGAACAAGCAAATACTCCTTTCTTTGTTAGAATTTTCCTTATCCTCATATATTCTATACCAACTGTATTTACACAATACTGGACACAACAGACAAGCATTTTTAAATGTCAGAATAATGGTTTTGGCAAAAATATCCTTTGCAGTGGCAAAGCAACTGCTTATGACCTACAAAATGTTAAACTAAATCCAGCCATCAAATATATTTTCTTATAGTCTAGGACAGAAGGACTCTCAAAGGTCACAAAGATCTTCTGCTGATCTTTCTGAATTTCCACAAATCTATTTCTGGTTTTTAATCACAAGGACAATCTCTTTAATAGGTGGGAATGAGCGAAATTCCTACCTCCTGCAATTTCTTCTTTGTGATACTGCAGAAATGCTTCTTTGTTTAAGATACACGTAAAAATAATACTGATAATTCTGTCAGTGAGTTAAATGAAGAATACACCTCTTTTTGTGGCATCAGATGAAAATTACATGGAGATGACTCCATGATATTAAAGCCAGTCTATAAATAGGGTCTGTAATCATTTCAGTTTCTTCTATGCTATCAGTTGACTTTGATACCATTTTGTGATTCAGAGCACACTGTTCATACATAATGCGGTAGATGTGTCTGCTTTGGTTCCTGGTGTGTGTTTTAACTTATCCTATGCCCAAGAGGAGTGTTCTTAACACTTTTTCTGTTCAAGCTACTTGTTGTGCCTCTGGAAGTACTGATGTATCAGTATCTCTGCTCCCTTCAAATTTGCTCTTTCAGTTCAAGAGAAATGCTGCTCTGTAGCCTTAATTTTATCTCAGTGATCTTTATAAACGTTTCGTTGCTGCTATTTAAAGGAACGACAACTTGAATTTGGGTGGTGCTTTTTATTTTTCAATTGAAGGTTTTGCAGCTTCTCATTTCTACAAGTAACTTTCTCAAAATTTTTTTCATTCCTAAAAAATAACGATGGGAAATTTCCAGCCACTTCCAACCTCTCAGTTGCTCTTTATGCTGTTTTTTTGGTTTTGTCTATTTTACAGCATTAAATATTAAGTCAGATGCATATGTCTTATGTACTACATGGATGGAAACAGGGAAGAAGCAAGAGAAAGCAAGGGGACAATTTAGTTTTCCTGCTATTTTTTTCATACATGGTGTTTGCTAGCAGAAACCAGATTTTACTTAAAATATTTCCAGGATTTCAGTAGATCCTCCTATCAGTAATAGAGGTAAAGTTTTGGTCTTGTAAATGAAATAGCTATTGGAGAGGTCTGCAATGAAATAATGTGCTATATCTAATCATTGTGCATATTTTAGGTGGTCATGAGACTCTGAGCCTCAGTAAGAACGCTCAGGTATTGAGGAGCTCCATTGATGAGCCTCATATGAATGCTAAAAGAAAAGATTGAAGAAGATATATTTCATAGAGCTGCAAAACAATTAGGAGATAAAATATCATTCAAACTCTGGAAATATTTGAAAGTTTCCCTTTAATGTGCCTCTTGGGAGCAGCAGCATAAGAGTAGTAGTGCTGGCCTGGTTCTTGAGGAAAGACAAATAATATCCTATCCTTTTTATAGCTCCATATTGTTTCAGATCATTTGATATGCCTGCTAGTATCATACTTTGCCTGTAGCTCCATCCCTCTTCCTCTTGAGCAAAAGCCACATAAACATTAAAAAATTAAACACTTCCATCATCATTTTCCTTTCATTCATATAATTTGGCTTATTTGGTATATAATCCTGCTTATACCATCACTTAGTAGTCTACTTCATGAAGTACCTGTGTTGTAGCATTGCATACTTGGTGCCCTGGCTTCTCTCTGGGTAGACAATTTAAACTTTCTACATGATTTTAGTTAGTTGTAGACTTCTTCACTCATGGTACTGAAGACAGATTCAGTTTGGAGGACTAGCTACACAAGCTAGTTTTTAATGAGAGAGCCTGTTAATTTCAGTTTGCTTCTGAAAGTTTGGTGTCCTCTGGAATGAAATACTGAATGAATTTCCTACTCACAGATGTGTCACAGCAGTAAGTTGACTAACCTGATGCCATGCTTTGAAGCAGGATGGAATAAACCTAAACAATCCCCTGGCAAATCTGTGTTTATTAGAAGGCTGTTCTATAAATTCTACAGTAAGGGGACTCCGCAGACCTAGTTATGCTTTAGTAAGAATAGTTGCTGTGGGGGTTTTTTGTAATTTTTAGTAACTGAGGTTAATTTAACATAGTTGTCTTAATGGACAGAAAGAACAAACTGCCAGTGCCTTTCTTTGACAAGGCAACAGGCTGTAAAGAAAGGGAGACAGGAGCAAACGTGAGAAGGATTCCCTCCTGCCATGAAACCAGCATAGAATGAAAAGAAATATTATTCAAATTAAGCATCCCACGTCCAATGTTGCCATCTGTAACACCACACTTGGTCTTTATATAATGTTCACAGAAAGAGACTAGCTATGACTATATTGAGAAGATTATGCCTTAAGCATTTTCCATAAGGTGATGCACCAAGGTGTTACTAATGTGCTTTCCAAAGCCTGTGACAGAGACAAGCTGTGCAAAGCCTGGAATGAGTTAAAATACTGAATTATCAGTAGCAGACCATAAAAGAATATAGGAAGTCCTCTGCTATATCACACAGAATTCAAGGAAGCCAGCTTCCTTAGGTGAGATGATTTCATTCTGCTTTGGGATATTATGAGAAAGGGCTCTGTGTTTCTTTTAATGTTGATAATGTTTTTAATGTTGATTTTAACATACAAAAAGGGCATGGCGCATCTTAAAACAGGGGTACTCCAGACACTTCAGTAGGTATTCTCAGCCCTAACACATTTCCTCCATGGTATCTAAATGGTAATGCAAGATATATCCATTGAAACTCTGCAGAAACTCACTGGGGTCAGAACACAAAGAAATACATTCCAGTGACAGCCAGTGGAAAAAATAGGGTGACAAATACTTTAATCTTGAGGGTTCACAAGAAGCTTTAATATAATCTGATTTTCAGTGAGACTTTTAATGCAGTCTCATGTGGCATTTGCACCAGATCAGTCAAACTTCACCCACCCATAATCCCCAATAGGCTGTAAGTAGAGGAGTAGAGGAATCATTATATGATTCTATGAGAGTGCAAGATTGGGCAAACATGACATTTTCCCCTTTTGCTTCCCTCACTCTGACAAGCTGTTGCTCAAGGAGTACCAGAATTAGGAGGTAATATCTTGGCCTGTAACAGGCTGGATAGAATTTTTTCTTTGAATTTTTAGCTTTTGTTGGCATCCTAAGGCCAATGAATTTGATTTTTTCTTACGTGTTGTATTAAAAAGTCCATCATGTTGAGATTAAAGAATATGAAACACAGTAGATGGGGGCTGGATGAAATTATAACAGTGTGAATGCTCAGCTAGCTGCAAAACTATTCTTAGAGAGTGGCTATCAAAACTTCACTGTCATACAAAGAAATATCAAGTGAGATTCTGTGCAGTTTGTTCTGGGTCAATTAATCATAAGGATATCCATTAATAATATGGGAGAGTTTACAGAGAGCTTTTTATAACCAACTGTGTCATCCAAACTCTCCAAACAGAGAACTCAAAAGTCACTGTGTTGGACAAAATGTAATCAGAAAGAATCAGGAGTAGAAAAGAGATTCCAACCAAGCAGCTTCACAGACTATGGTATTTGACTGTCAGAGTGCATGTGGGCACATTTTCACTGCAGGGTGAATCATAGAGTGACTGTGTTAATGCATTAACATTATTCCTTCTTAACCATAGAATCATAAAATAATAGAATGGTTTGCATTGGAAAGGACCTTAAGATGAACCCCCCCTGCCATGGGCAGGAACACCTCGCACTAGAACATGTCACTCAAGGCTCTGTCCAACCTGGCCTTGAACACTGCCAGGGATGGAGCATTTACCACTTCTTTGGGCAACCTGTTTCAGTGCTTCACCACCCTCACTGTAAAGAACTTCCTTATATCTCACCTGAACTTCCCCTGTTTCAGTTTAAAGCCATTACCCCTTGTCCTATTGCTACAGTCCCTGAAGAATAGTTCGCCTCCGGCATCCTTGTAGGCCCCCTTCAGA